CGAGCACACCAACCAGCACCAACACATCTACGAGCACACACAGCACACCAACCAGCACCAACACATCTACGAGCACACCAACCAGCACCAACGCATCTACGAGCACACCAACCAGCACCAACACATCTGCGAGCGCACCAACCAGCACCAACACATCTGCGAGCACACCAACCAGCACCAACACATCTACGAGCGCACCAACCAGCACCAACACATCTGCGAGCACACCAACCAGCACCAATACATCTACGAGTACACACAGCACACCAACCAGCACCAACACATCTACGAGTACACACAGCACACCAACCAGCACCAACACATCTACGAGCGCACCAACCAGCACCAACACATCTACGAGCGCACCAACCAGCACCAACACATCTACGAGTACACACAGCACACCAACCAGCACCAACACATCTACGAGCACACAAACCAGCACCAACACATCTACGAATACACACAGCACACCAACCAGCACCAACACATCTACGAGCACACACAGCACACAAACCAGCTCCGACACATCTATGAGTACACATACCAGCACCACCACATCTGCGAGCAAGGGCACAACAAGTGGTCCAGTACAGCCCACTGGAAATACCACCACCTCTAGGCCCTCAACACCCACCTCCGGAGGTAGGACTAACTGCATGACAAACATCAATGTATGTATAATAATAAATAATATACTAAAAGATGAAGGTGAGACAGGAATCAATGAGTCAACTGGAGGTCATTTTATAAGTTGCTTGCCCAAAATACCACCAACTTGTAGTAAAGTCAAATCTACATTAATAAAGTCTCAGTCTCAAAGCCACATAAAACATTACTCAGGTTTCAGCGCAGTTAGACTGCTGAAGTCCTCGATAACTTAAACCAAACTTGAGTCTAAGTCTGAGGTCTACAGCTCTGGCTGACAGCAAGGCAACTGCTAAATGTCTGAAGAACCAAAGGACCATACTATTTGTTTTAGTTAACATTTTAACTAATTAACATAAATTGTGTGTACACTTTATATTATTGCCAACTATTTTCCAAAGTTTCCACATTGATTCCCCACCTTCAGGGCAGACACTATTATGCTGCTACTATATGAAAATCATTTTGCACGCATGTCAAAACTTGTTAGAAATAGACAATCAATTACAGTATACACAACACTGTCATGTTGGAGACTCAAAATTGTTACTACACAGTGATAAACTTAAAAATATATAATTTAATAAAATATATTTCAAGTCTCTCCAACTTGCCAAGTGAAACCAACACTGTTTATAAGGTAGATGATCAATTTAAAAATCAATGCTTTGCTCTGGAACATTGTCTGGGGGGATGCTAATGGATTATAGCATGAAAAAGCTTCACTGTGGTCCTTTTATTCATTAACTCAGTGAATTTAGTGCTTTGTAGGCAAACTAATAATTTTACCTTCTGAAGCTTTATTCAAGAATTTTACCTTATGTACAAACCCACACTATTAAAACGTTGATTTTTTTTACTGTTTAACTTTCCCGCTGATCTTTACATATTTTTTAAGGTACTGTGACTGGCAAACCTACTGAACCACACGGTGGCAACACAACAGCCTCATCCACCATCACCACCATCCAGCAACCAACAGAGATCACCACCAACATGTCCACCACAGCCATCCCCACCCCAGGCCCACTCATTGGTTTGTAACTTCCTCTGAAGTGTTTGATATTTCATGGCTATTGAAGACTGTTTGCTAGCAACTTCATAATTTCAACTTAAATAGTGATCATATGTAAATGCTGTGCTCCCACCCACCTTGTTTCTGCTGCCCTTAGTTTGCATACAAAAGAAAAAAAAAAACAATGGCCACCGGTTTAACGTTTAACTTTCTTCCACCTGTTATCAGTGTGTCCTCTCCGCCCATGCCCACTTCTAAGCATCTGTTTCAATGGTGCTTGCCAGTGTCTCACTGGTACCTTCCTGGTCAATGACATCTGCGTACCTGGTGAGAACATAACATTTCTTTTGTGGTCAGATTACCAGAACAGATATCATACTGAGGTGATGGCCCTAAACCCTTTGCTGAAAGACCTTTTTATTCATCTCCTTTTCACTCAGCCCAAGTGTTCCCAGGCCAACTTCATTTTGGATCAATGAACTTTGAACCTGAAATGCGTGACAGGTCCTCGACAACATTCCAGAAAAAAGCGGCTTTGATCTCAGCAGGGGTAGGTTGTAATCTTGTGAAGTGTTTTGAATACCTGTAATAAATGCCCCTCATTAATCCATGTTTATTCTGTTTCATAGCTCAGAGATGCCCTCAAAGATCTGCAAGGGTATATACGGTCTGATGTTGTGGAACTTCAGTGAGTACCTTCTCTTTCTCCTGCTGCACAAAGATGTTTTGCCACAGATCACAAACGATTTCTTAGCTCTGCTGGTGCTTCTCTGTAATCTTCTAGACCAGGAAGTGTGCGAGCATCTGTGAACAACTACTTTAAAAACACCAATGTCACCCAAGAGACTGTTGATCGGACTATTGTTGAGGCTATAGCCAACTCGAAAAACGGCACCTTTGCTAATACTACATTTGTAGGTAAGTACTGCTAGTAAGTCAAGGGTTGTATTGTTTAGTTTTTGGAGGAGAACCTGACGTGTATGAGCCACATTATTTTGAAAGGGTTTTAGGTATGTAGGTAGGTACTTTATTGATCCCTCAATGGGGAAATTTCAGTGTTTCAGCAGCAATGGAGCACAAACAACATAACACCATGAGAAACAAACACCACACACATATCTTGATATAACAAATTTCAGTTTTTCCTCATAACCCTGTTTGATATCCTCTCTGTCTCAGGTACAAAGCTGTGTGATCAGCCTCCATTAGCTTGTGATGCCTCCACTACGTTGTGCACAACCACGAAAGGCAGCGCTACTTGTTCCTGTAAGGAGGGCTACATCTCCAATATGTACTCAAACACCACCTGCAGAGGTAACAACAACTTTTTTAATATTTTTGATTTATCTGCTTTATCAAGACTAATGTTAGATTTGAATAAGGAAACTAGAACATGCCTTTTATGCTTGAAAATTCTTCCCTGTGCTCTGCTGCTATAACTACAGCTACACTGTAAGCGCAGACGACTCACAGCATCTGAGATCAAGCTTGAGTGAAATTCTCCCAGCTGATCTGCAGTTAAGAGAACTGTAACAAAACCTTCTTATCCTCACTGAAATACTTGCAGTGTGAGAATGAGGGGGAGAAACAACAGGGAGCGAGACTCTGAGACAAGGTCAAGAGCTGCAGCATTTCTCCGTGCCAACCTCTGACCCATACTTCATTTATCTCTCGAATTTATTTCTTTTTAACGGGGTCGTTTCCCTGGATACCAGTAGAAGAATCACTGATTTCTCTTTGTGTGGAGGGACCAAAGAGATCAGCTATAGGAAGAGCTAATAAAGGATAAGGCCTTCAAATAAATGCTTTCCCAAGAAAATACAACACACATCATGCAGCCTTCATAAGAAGAGAGTCTCACTGTGCTCATATCGTTTTACAGTATGTGCAATCAGGCATACAGTACTTCTCCATCTACCTTGACTGTAGCTTGTTATGTTCTCATTTCAGTCTCTTTGTGCAGAACATTGTGCATGTGCTTAAGTTATTGTGTTTCTTTTTCTAGCCTGTCCAAGTGGCCAGAGGGCAGTAGGAGACACGTGTCAAACGTAAGTACACACTTTTTTCACATCAGGTATGGGGCTTCTGTGCTGTGTTGGTGCTGGCTCCCCCATGTGGATTTAGGGTTAAACTCTATTAAGATGTGAGAGGACGGCCATGAAATGTGAGTAAGACTGAGTTCAACTGCCCGGTTTCTTTCAGATGTGCTTTTGGATATTCTGGGTTCAACTGTAATGACTGTGAGTAATAGCACAGTTTCAAAGACAAAAAACTATTTAGCAGCAGTAGTGACAAACCTGTAGAAATGTAAATGTGGGTTGATGTGTCTTTATCAGCGGCTCTGCTGGCAGTGGTGGTCATCTCCTGCGTACTAGGGGGAATTCTTCTCATCATCATCTTGGTGTTGCTCATATGCTGCTGCAGGTGAGAATATAACAAAGACTAATCCTCCAAACATGAACCAGCCCTGGTACTGATTTATTTTAGCTCTGACTGCATATAATCATCACATACAGTGTGTCTCTGGAAAGAAAAGTATGTTTACACACTGCATGTTGCAACTTTGATTCTCATTAGCCCTGTAAGAATGGCTTTGGGCATTTTCAAGCCAAAATGTTAAACTATGGTGAAATTTGATTGAAAAGTCACATTTTTATGTAGTTTCAGGATCATTTTAATGTTTAATGCTTCAACATATAGTTTAGGAACTAAAGAAAGTCACTTATGGTTTTTTTCCTGTTTAGGGGTCGCCACAGCAAATCATCACACTGACAACTCGCATGTTGACATTTGGCACGTTTTATGCCAGATGCCCTTCCTGACCCAACCCTGACTCGAACCCAGGCCTTAACCATTAGCCTACTACCAGTGGCAACCCCTAAACGGGAAAAGCCGAAAGTTTAGGAACTGCTTCACTTAAAAGTGTAGTCATGTTAATTCTTTTGAAACAACACTTACGTTGAATGTTATATTGACATTTACCTATTTAAGCTAAGTGCCTTTTCCAGATCACCAAATTACCCTAGATGCTTAATGTTTATGGATGGTGTTATTTTGCATTTTCTTAAACAATTAACAACAAATCCTGTACCAAGACCAAAACCTATAGTTTGTTAGTTTGTAGCTCAGTACTCTTCAACTTCCTGCTCTGTCTGTGGGTCTTGGCCTTAAGTCCATTGTTTACCTATAGCCTATATCAGGCTCTGGCTAAACAGACAATACTTGTTAATACAATCAATTGGAATCACTGGAACTCAAATAAGTAAAAACATGTAGAATAACAACACTATCCTTTAAATATTTGCTGTCATTATACGGTACAATACTTTCTGTTTGTGCTTCAGGAGAGGCTGTTCAAAGACAAAAGATGACTACAGCACCGGTCTATACGCGTCAGGTGACTCCAACCAGCCCTGGCCCACTGGCATCACCCCCATCCCTCGTGCTACCACTAACTGGCATGCTGGTTCTTCCATAGAGATGACAGAAGGGAGTGGCAATCAAGGTGCTGGAACCAATGGATTGGTGAGTTACCACAGATGTTTCTTTGTTGTCTGAATGACTTACCACTAATCCTCAGTTTTGCATAGTGTCAATTATTTCCTAATCAGCCGGTTGAATGGTACATTAAATCAAGTGAAAATGAAACAGGACATGATGTCTCTCAGCTGTACTAACTGCCTTCATGATTTGCTGTTTCCTTTAGTGCTTCTGTTGTTATTCCAGCTTTTATAAACTATGATCTTAAAATAGAGTCTGTAAAATTCTCCTCACCTGCAACTCAGCATAGGTTATAAGAAGCAACCACAAGTAGTCATTTCTGACACCCACCCACAAACAACCTCTCGTCTGCTAAAAGCCCAAAAGAGCGGCTGCCAGACCGAAGAGGTGGTGGCACAAAAACCAGGGTTAACATCAGTTTAAAACTAGTCAAAGGAGTCAACTGATCCAGATGTGGGGTTTTAAAAACAAACACGTTAGCTATAGGTGCTAATGGACCCAAAAGGTAACCTTAGCGATCTAGCATGTTCAGAATTTCACCTTTGTATTGAATTAATATGATTTTAATTTTTAAATAACTTAAGCTAATATATGCTAATATAAGCTGTATAATGTTAGTCCTTTGTCTGACATTAGCAGTATTCCCCTGGAATTTACTCGTTAGTCAGCTAACCCTAGTTTCAGACTAGAGGCTGCATATGTAGTTTGTCACAACCAGGCATCCATAGTTTATGTTGTCGCTAGGAAAAGGATGTAATGGGAGGGGAAAAGAGCAGTTAGGAGTGGCTTATAGTATCAGTTTGTTTGAATCTCACTAGACCCTGAAAAGAAATTAGGTAGAGTATCTTTAACTTTTTCACTGTTCCCCATCTTCCATCCAGATCACATCTGCTTATTAACCCTAAACTCAATATGGATTTAATCATTTGCAGGTGAAAAGTACATCTAGGTGGACACATAACCTTCCTATATCACAGTATGGTTGCTTTGATGATGTTGTCAGGCTTGTGCACATCAGTATGCTTAACCCAATTATCTAGAATGTATACATACTGCTAGCACGTAGCTCCTTCCCTTGCGCCTTGCTTTGCCTGACTCCAGTGTGTTGGTTTAGGGATTTCACCTGAAGGATATAAGATGGAAAAAGGTAAGGCATTGCTTTGCTTTTAGATTTTGATTTGTCTTGATGGCCCCTGCTGATGATTTGGACAGCCCACAAAAAGAATTATGGTGGTGGGGTTTCTGGGTGATGGGAATCTTCGTGTGAGTTCTCTGATTGCTGTGGAAAGCATTTTGTTGAGTGTCAGTTCAAAGAAATTCAACCGATACTAGTTTGGGAGTAGTCTTGAATATTTTTTTCATTCTCATGGCAACTTTATTACTATGTGTACTTGTGTTTATTCTTAGCTTTTGTTGGTCTTTGTGTGTGCATGAATGTGTGTCCTTACATCTAAATGTCACAAATACACTGACTGTTTCCACTGGCATTTCAGACGGGATCATATGATCTTAACCCAGAAGCAATGAAGACCTTCAAAGGTAAAAATCCATCCCGTTACTCCTATCTGGTTCAAGGCCATGAGAACCCCTACTTCTTACCAGGAGATGAGAAGCAAAACTGAAAAACATCTGGACAAGTGGAGATATAAAACATGTGGAAGTGAGTAACATGGCATCAAAAGGAAGTCACTGATTTGCAAGTCTGGGACTATGGACACAATTTATATAAAACATTTTTTTAAATTTTTGAATGAATGTCAAATCACTAAGGACATTTTGTATCTGGGACGCAGCCACCAAAGAGAGTAATTCATACGAGCAACTCAACAGTTTTTTAAAAGGGAGATTGTGTGCATCATATCTATCCTAGCTGATTATAGCCAGTAGATGCCACTGTTGCTCAACATATCTTTTTTTCTTTAAAGGTGCATTTGATTATTTTTATACTTTAAAACAACTTTTAAAGGCGCATTTGATGATTTTTGTGCTTTAAAAAAACTCATTCTGTAGTCTTTTAAAATGAAGCTGTTATGATGCTGCTAATTGCACTAAAGCATGTGTTTACCACCATTTTTTCTCTGCAATCAACTATAAATTGAATGTGGGCTGTCTTTGGCTACTACTTTTTCTTAAGGGCATGATTGTTTTTTTAGAAGAATGAATCTTGAATGACTAAAGGGGCTGGATCCCTGGTTTGTGGTATTTTTAAAGGGATTTCCGTTTTAGCTGTCTGAGTACACTGTGTATTTGTTGAAGTTGAACCTCAAAATACGCGCATTTTAATATGCTGGTTGACAAATAGAAAATATTATGCAAAGCTGGTGATAAAGACAGTTTCCTGGTTGTGCCAGTTATCACTTGTATACAGAATTCTTATTGTTGTGTGTTTGAGACAGTGCACGGTTCTACAAGTGTGTAAATTATTGAGAATCTGTTGGCACAGAATGTGTGTGTGTATGTAATGGAAATAAATTAATTTAAGCTAAAACTGTTGCATTTCTGTTCATTGAAGGATATTGTTTGTATATATACTGCTCAAAAAAAATAAAGGGAACACAAAGATAAGACATTCAACTATGTCGTGTTCCCTTTATTTTTTTGAGCAGTGTATATATATATATATCTATAGCCAAAGGAGGAGATAGAGGCCACTGACATCAAGACAAGGAAGCTCCTTACAATGCACGGCGGGTTTCACCCCAAGTCCAGCATCCTGAGACTGTATGCTAAGCGGAAGGAAGGAGGCCAAGGATTAGTGAGCATCAGAGCCACTATCCAGGATGAAACAACAAAGACCCATGAATACATCAGGCACAGAATGTGTGTGTGTATGCAATGGAAATAAATTAATTTAAGCTAATGTAAGAGTGATGATGTGCTTAGTGAATACCTCAGGCAGCAGAAACCAGAGGAACAAGGGAAGGAAGAGCAGGAACCCTTATCGAAGGACAAACCTCTGCACGGTATGTACCACTGTCAAATAGTCTTATACTTGTATAGCACCTTTCTATGCTTTTTTTACAGCACACTCAAAGCGCTTTCACATTATTCTGCCATTCACCCATTCGCACTCCCAAGCACTCACACACCGGTGACATCACTGGGAGCAACTGGGGCTTCAGTGTTTTGCTCAAGGACACCTCGACATGTTGACTGGACAAGCCGGGAATCGAACCGCTAATCCTCCGGTTAGGAAACGACCCGCTCTACCTCCTGAGCCA